TGGGGTCTCTAGCTCTTCAAATCTCCTGACAGGACCAGAAACCTTTTCCTGGGTCTGATATGGTAGAAGACAGCACCTGGGGCTCTGCCAAAGGGGAGAGGGGTGAAATTCTACAGTTGGATGTCAGCAATTGCAACTTCCTCACTTCAGGCTGGATCAGGCTCAGGTTTTACTCTTCACCTGAATGGCTTTGCCACATCTCCCAGCCCTTTCTAGATGAAGTAGCTTGCTATCAGCAGCTCTGCTCCACAGATTATTGGGACAGTCCCAGTACCTGCTGCAAGTCCTGCCCCCATGGAGCAGAGTCTCGTACCACTCCTCTGGGACCAGCCTGTTACATCACCCTCTGCTGCTCTCTGTAACCACTCTACCTACCATCCACATAGAATCATAGAAGCATTAAGGTTGGAAAAAACTTCTAAGATCATCTAGTCCAACTGTCCACCTACCACTAATATTGCCCACTAACCCATGCCCAAAGTATCACACCTACACACTTCTTGAAAACCTTGACTCCACCACCTCCCTGGGATTATGGACATGGAGAGCTATTTAGTTTTGCTTATGTTAGCATGATCCCAAAGACTCCTAAGGGGAGAGGGGCAGAGGCCACCATGGACATCTAACAGCTGGAAAGTAGAAGCCTTAACGGCCCCAGGCTTCAATATTTTTGTCTAACTTGCATAGCAGGGGAAGTATCCTTCATGCTTCAGATCTCAGACATTGTAATTGAATTTCCAAGATGATTAGATAATGAGTTGAGTGTGTTTTTACTACAAGAGTCTTGAAATTGAACCTGCTCCATTTTTTTTCTTCTTCCCCACAGAATCTAAGAATAAAAGGGGTTATGAAGAACCTCTGGAGGTCCGACTCCTCTACTAAAGCAGGTTCCCTACAGCAGGTTACAAAAGAAAGCAACCAGGTGAGTTATTACTATCTCCAAAGAAGGAGACTCCATAACCTCTCCGGGCAGCCGTTCCAGTGCTCAGTAAAGAATTTTTACCTCATTTTTGTATAAAACTTCCTATGTTCCAGTTTGTGCTCATTGGCTCTTGTTCTATGGCTGGGCACTGTCGAAAAGAGCCTGGCCCATCGACTATCCTGCCCTTTGGATATTTTTAAGCACTGTTGAGATCACCCCTGTCTTCTCTCCCTCACAGGAGATGCTCCAGGCCCCTCGTCATCTTTGTAGCCCTCTGCTGGACTCTCTCCAGCAGTTCTCTGTCTTTCTTGAACTGGGGAGCACAGAACACAGAACTGGACGCAGTATTCCAGATGTGGCTTCACCAGGGCAGAGTACGGGGGGAGGTTCACCTCCGTCCACCTGCTGACCACACTCTGTTTAGTGCACCCCAGGATACCATTGGCCTTCTTGGCCACAAGGGCACACTGCTGGCTCGTGGCCTGCCTGTTGCACACCAGGACACCCAGGTCCCTCTTCGCAGAGCTCCTCTCCAGCAGGTCAGCCCCCAGCTGTACAACTGCTGGTTCCCTCCAGCTCAGAATCTCAATGCAACCTGGACTACGACAAACCATCTCAGGAAAATTACATCAGATTTATGCCAGATTCCTTCCTCCTTCAAGTCTGCAGGTCACTTTCTGTCCTTAGCTCCTTTCCGCATGCTGAATCTTTTTAAAACAGTTTTGGTCTGACCTCATCCATGTTGGTCTTGGCTTCGTGGAAACTTAGAACAAAATTCCTTCAGACTCTTTTGAATTGTGAGGGAGTGGTAAAGTACACTTCGGTAATTGTTAAAGGGATAATCATTTCTTCTGGCAATGCTACAAGAAAATACATGATGTTGAAAGGTTAGCAGTAAAATAATCCTTTTTGGGATCTTGTACTTTGCTTGGTTAAAGGAATTAAAAAAAAAAAAAAAAGAGAGAGAATTTATGAGATCTATGATGGCCTGGGATCTGTTCTAAGTTTTAGTTAAAGAAATTCAACTCATGAAACATTGCCACATAGTTTTACTGGATTTTACATAAGACAGCGGCCCTGTCATGGCTTTTTGGATCATTCTTATGAAGGTACCTGTGAATGGAATAACAAAACATAATTTCTGCTTTAAAATGTCCAAATCAGTAAAATACTCAAAAAAACATTCCTCAATCTTACTCAATTGCTTAACATTAGATTATGAGAAAATCAGTGTGGAAAATACAAAAAAGATATGACATGTGAGATCATCAGCAGGACTGGCTGATTTTCTGCATTGATCTGTATAGTCTGTAATGGTATTGAATGTCAATCAGACCCCTTTGTAAATACACTGGCCTCGTTCTAGACAAAAAATGGTTTAACTGCAGATAAAACTAGCCCCATTCACATCACCCATAGAAGATTTTGCTTTTTAGAACTACAAAAATACAGTGCAGACAAAATAATCAGAATGTTGTGCCATGATTGAACACTTTAAATAACAAAGAGCAAATGCAATGTTGTTGCAACATATGCCATACAGACAGTGTGTACGGTCATCCCAGTTTCATTGGTTAAATATATAACAGCTACTTGTCTGAAGTTTTGAAACCTCCATGTCAGCATTTTCTGACTATTAGCAATTTCACTGTGCTGCTTGAAGTTGGCAGCATTTTGCATTTAAGTTCCACTACTATGAGTTTTGCTTGTGTTTTACCGAAGAACATTATAACACAGACCCTCAGGGGAAATTCCATTCCACTTATTAAAAAATTGTGGCTATTTTATTTTTCTTATCTCTGCCATCCATTTCCTTTTGTTTCTCAATGCATTGCTGCAAAACACAAAGACGTTTCCTTGTCTGCTTTACTTTGGACCTCTTTAATGAAAGCTCCTACATAATCAAAGTCACAGGATTCATTTGATGAACTGAGCTGGTTTTGCTGAAGGGTCACAGTTGGAGATTAAGTATTTCAAAAAAGCAAAAGATCTAAAGGCTGGAGAAATGGACAGTTTTTACAAGATATCAGATAAACATGCAGTAACAGAAAGAAATTCAGCTCTTACAAAGCAGAACAGCTCAGTGTGATCTGTCTTAACTATAACCAGGTGATCGGAGCCAGCCTCCCTGCAGAAAAGTGAGCCTTGCTTCCTTTGCCTCATTAGTCTGTTTTCTGTGGCATGATGTCATGGCCAGGGGGTACTTTGTACTCGCCGACATGAGGCTACAAGGAGTGGTGTAACATAAGAGAGAGGAAAACATGAGAGCAAAAACATTTCCCTGCTCTCTTGCTTGTAGGTACTCTCAGGCTGCTGCTCAGCAGGCAGCAGATCACACTTTCTGATCCTGAGAAACAACAGTCATTGCTCTTCTGCTTTCATTGAAAATGAAAAGTTTGAGTAGCCAAAGTTTCTCAAGAAATATAAAGTTCTAGTAAATCCCTGTGTAAAATATATTTTTTTAACATTGCAATGCAAAAATATTTTGACATTCTTGAACTGAAATTCCATGTTTAACTGTGCCTGCTTGAGCCCTTGCTGCTGCTAGGACCAGCATCATCCCCAGCTCCTGTCTGCATGCCAGGCTCCTTGCTGGGTACCTGCTCCCACATCTGTGACCAAATGGCTGCCAAAATGCACCAGCATCCCCTTGGAGGAGCTGCACATGCCTTAGAAGAGATCTTCCAGTACGGGACCTCATCCATATTCCTATAAAGTCAACTCAAATCATACATCCGATTGCAGGTTCAACAAAATAAAAAGTCTTATTCTGAACAAGAGAGATATGAAATGTTTTATTTTATTCACCCTCTAAAATCAATAGAAAATGATTTCCCTGAATTACTTTTTTTGTTCTAGTACCTAGGCTGTTGTAAGGAGGCACAGCCTGAGACATCTGGTCTTCGAAGGAGGGAGTTCAGGAAAAGAAGCACTGCGCTACCTGACCTTATTTGGGCAGCTGACTCAAAGTAACAGTGACTATAGTGAGAGTTTATAGGGCTGGCATTCAGGCACACACCTATATTTTAATGCCGGCAAAGGGCTTAATCTTCTGTGGAACCCCAGGATGACTATATCAGAAAAAATATCTGTACTGTCAGTGACCCGCTGCAAGAAGAGCACACACGAGCAGAGACCTCCTGAGTGACTTGAACCCAATGTTGTTATTCCATCTAAAGCAAAGAGCAGCTTGTGGATTTTACTTAGCTTTTGTCTTTTCACACAAATTATCAGACAAAGGTTGAGGTTAAGGTTTGAATCTCATGGCATTCTGACTGGCTTAATTAGACCTGGATTCAATATGCTACATCCTTCAAATTGCACATGGAGGTTTGAGAGGGAGATATCTGTGACATGAAGTGAATCAAAAGCAGAATACAAATTCTCGGAAAATAGGTGGTTCCTTCAAAACATACCTTTGCATCTCCATCATTCTTGCCATAATTTCTGAAGCTTGGACTTCTTAAAATTTGCCATGACTAATTTACGTTTACAGTAATCAGTGTAGATGTCACAAAATTACAGTTTTCTCCTCCAAGACAGATGCAAGCAGTGAATGAGCTGCTAACATCTCATTACATGCAACGATGTCATTATATGGAAAATAACACAACAGGGATGCCTGAAGCAAGATTTTTAGTCACTGAGATCTGAGAACTTCATCATAACATACTGACTCAAACTGAAGTAGTCAGGATAAATTTCAGTGCCTTAATACCAGTGATTCAAACCCTATTATGCTGCATGGGCTTGTCCTTCTCCTTGTTTCTTTAATGTAGCTAAATCATGCTGAGGTAATGGGAGTGACATGGTTGGGAGCTTCAGACATATCTTAATTCAACTGTAACCTTGGCAAACTTGTGCATTTTAACAGATCGTCCACTAACATGCTCCAAAACCCAATAGGGGCCTGCTAAATATCGTAGGACCTGACTGAGAAGAAAATATATTCAGACAGGTAGTTAATGAAAGAACTTGTTCTTTTTTTTAATGAATCTGTGTTTGGTACATATTGAAGTTTATCCTTGATAAATCTATGATACTCAAAGTTCTGCAAATCTTAGACACGTAGAAAGAAATCTGAGCAAACTTAGACATGTTATATCAACTGGAGTGTCTCTCTGTGCTGTAGGAGATGAAAAACTGAAGAAAAGCAGTGTTAGATGTACTATATTTGTGCAACAATTCAAGGATGCAAGCCTAGGTTTCCATGGAAAGCCACTCCAGTTGCTGGAACATCTGTCTTCTTTCCTTATTTTATCTGTGCTCTCCATTGTCTTCTTGTGAGGCAGAAGATTTGGATTTTGGGTGCCTGCAGGGGCAGATGAGGGCAGCTTGGGTGAATAAAATCCACAAGCCAGTTAAAATCTCTCGGGCTGTAACATGAGCCTCTCCCTCTTCAAGCTGCTCCTTATTCTTAGGCTGTCTTGCTTTCTCTAGGGAGGAAGAGCTACTGTAGTCCTCGGACTGAGGCCAGCACTGGATTGTTCCCGCAGCCACTGGCTCAGCAAAATAAAATACAGCACTAAGGGAACAAGAGTGCCAGACTTGCTGCAATACAACCCCTGGGGTGGGTACAGCTTGGGACGCTGCCCCATGGTGTGTGGTAATGGGATTGAGTAGCTGAGGGGAGGGATGTCTCCTGTTTCTCAGGGAATCCTCTCTGAACATGGACTGCTGCTCCTAAAGAGTGGCTTTCCCCTGTCCGGATGGGAACATCCACTCTTTGCAGGCACACAGAAGAGAAACATTTACAGCTCCTTGTCACAAACAATTCAGGCAAGGGATAAGTAGAAAATATGTAACAGAGTCATAGAATCATTAAGGTTGAAAAGATCACTAAGATCATCTAGTCCAACCATCAGCCCACGCCTGTGACGACTCTAGACCATGTTACCCAGTGCCACAACTCCCCTTTTCTTGAACACTTCTGGGGACAGTGACTCCACCACCCTTTTGGGCAGCCTGTTCCAATGCTTCACTTAAAAATTCTTCCTGAACTTCCTGTGTTGCAACTTAAGGCCATTCCCTCTCATCCTATTGCTGTTACTTAGGAGAAGAGGCTGACCCCCACCTCTCCTTTCAGGTAGTTGCAGAGAGCAATAAGCTCTCCCCTAAGCATCCTGTTCTCTGGACTGAACAATCCCAGCTCCCTCAGACACTCCACATAAGCCTTGTGCTCCAGACCCCTCACAGCTTTGCTGCCCTTCTCTGGACACACTCCAGGGCTTCAGCGTCTTTCTTGTGGTGAAGGGTTCCAAACTGAACACAGTACTCGAAGTGCAGCCTCAGCAGAGCTAAGTGCAGAGGGACAATCACCTCCCGTGTCCTGCTGGCTACACTACTTCTGACACAAGCCAGGATGCCACTGGCTTTCTTGGCCATCTGGGCATACTGCTGACTGTCCCCTTTATGCCTCTTCTACACTGCTGTTTCGGCAGAGAACATATGGGCAGGTTGGGAACTGCCTTTTCCTTACAACCAAGCAGGGTGAGGACTGGGGGCATGTTGATGGCCCTTGGAAGGGAGATGGAGGACCTGGGCCCTATACAATCAAGAGGTTTGCCTTACCTGCAGCCATAGTGACCATGACACAGCCTTGGTTCTGTGTGGCTTGCTGTCCTCATCTCATTATACTTGCCATCTAAAGGGATGCAAAAGCCCATAGACAGTTAAAATGCAGCAACATTTCCCACCAGTGCTCCCCATTCTTGAGGGCAGGAGGAAGGCAAGCTTTCAGCCCCCTCGATGTGCACCTCTCCCTCACTCCTATACAAAAATCATTGCTACTGCAGGAGAAATCACCAAGATCTTTCACAACCAAGGAAAGTACACGTACAAAAAGAATCCCAAATTCACAGAGTAATCAGAATTACTTTTCAAAACAGTATCCAGTTACTAGCTAAAACAAACGGCATAGCTACTGCCCAGGGAACTGCCAGACAGTGCAGAGAGGCTGGTCGCAGAAGATTAAAAAGAGAAGAAAAAGGGCTCTTTCTACAAAAGATCACCTCAGCTGGAAATTACAGGGAGCAAAACAGGAGAAGGAGGATTATCCTTCGATGTGGCAGTTAATCTCAGAGGGAGAAGGGGAAGGAGCTCTGCAGCACTGGAAGGGGCTGAGTGAGGACCGGAGCACTGCGGGCCAGGCTGCTGCCATCCCAACCTGCACTTTTGAACCATGCTGTTGAGTCAGGCCCTGGAGACCCACAGGGAGATGGAAACAGGATGACTGGACCTTTGAAGTTGCCAGGGTGTAATAGCGCAAGGAGACGAGAGAACCAAGGCTCACAGTAACCCACTGTCTCTCATCAGCAGCAGCACATTAATTTGCTGTGTGAGGATCGTGCGAAAGAAGCGACGGGCGGCTTGTCAGGGAAAAGCACCAGGGAGGAGGCCCTGGAGAGCAGGGGGAGGGTGGGAAGGAAAGTTTGGAGAAAATTGCTCAAAATTACAGTATTCAGCTTTTGCTGACAGTATATCAAAGCCCAACTACTGCCTTTATGATATTTAAATCCTTGCCGCTTCCCCAGAAAAACAGCACTGGCACAATAGAAACATTATGTGCTGGCATGGGGAGGGGGAAAGCTGCTGAAATGGAACTCGTTTTGCGACGGGGTTGTGATGCGAGCTTCGAGGGCCTGAAGGCTCCACCACAGAGATGAACAAAGTGCCCATCTGCAGCGACAATGTCCTGAGGAGGCTCTTTGAATTCAGCTCATGTTGCACAGTTTGAAATGCACACACACACCCCCGCCCCCGAGGAAAAGTGTCCCAGTTACTGCACAGGGCAGGAGCACAGGGGATGCAACAGTATTAAAATTAAATGGGAAGATAAATCATAACTGGCAGCACAGTAAGAGGATTAAAGCTCCTGCTGGGGATTTATGCCTTCTGCCAGTTACAATGCTCTAGTCTCACTCATGGGATCTGCAGCCTCTATACTGGTGATGCTAAGTGCACCTTCAGCGTTGCCACCTTCTTTGTTGGCAGAAAAGGAACAGGAGAGGACACCAAACTCTCTCAGGACGAAACACTGGGAGATGTTTGTAGGGTGTCAGAATGACAGAAGCACATGAGCTGCAGAAAGACAGAGGGGACACCATAGCTATGCCAGGGGGGTGACAGGTCCCCAAGAAGGGTGCATATCCCCGTGAAGGCCTTGTGTGTCAGCCCCAAAACAGGTTTCAAATCTGGTTGTGTATGGAAGAGGCAGTACTGGAGCTCCTTCCTGGTTATCTGATGGCCAAATCCCACCAAACTCTGAAGTGACTCGTCAGAGATGCACACTGGAGTGGCAGAGCCAAGGGGCCAAAGGAAAGGGTAGTTCCTTGTGACATAATCTTAGTGTCATGCTGAATCTGCTTGTGCTGCCTACATGGAGCTCTACCCAAAAGGATAATGCAAGTTAGCAAATGTTTGTCAGTCAATAAATGTTATCTTCAAAGAAGCAAGAGAACATCAATGTGGCTTTGGAAGATGCCAAGAGGAAGGAAGTTTTCTCCCCTCTTTCCAGATGAGTAGAAGAGATGGGGTGGTCTGTAAGCTGCCCTCAGGAGAGGAGATGTATAGAATCATAGAATCATTAAGGTTAGAAAAGACCACTAAGATCATCTAGTCCAACCATCAACCCACCATCACCATGCCGACTAAACCAGGTACCTCAGTGCCACATCTACACATTTCATGAAGACCTCCTCTGATGATGACTCCACCATCTCCCTGGGCGCCTGTACCAATGCCTCATCTCTTTCTGAGAAGAAATTTTTCATAATATCCAACCTGAACCTGTCCTGGCGCAACTTAAGTCCATTACTTCTTGTCCTATCACTGGTTACTTGGTAAAATACACTGAATAAGTCCCTGGCTCACACAGCACTAGTTGCCACCCCTCAGCCAAGGGCTCAGCCCATGAAATCGTCTGTTGTCTTTAAGGAACCATTTGCTGAGTTGCAACATCAAAAGCCTCTGCATTCATAACACTTTCTGGTTCTTCATTAGAAGAACAGATCTGTCATATAAGGCTTGTGCAGACAATCTTGCTTGCCATCTCCAGGCCATTTCTTCCAGCCACTGCACTCCCTGGCTGGTGACACCTTTCTTCCCCTGGATGTGTGCAGAAGAGCAGTGGATGATGAGGAATTAGGCTAGAAGCCAAAAGCACTGTGCATTCATACCTATACTGGCCTCTTGGAGGAAATTAAAGATTCTTTCAGTAGGAAAGCCAATGGGGTTACACTGGTGTTGCATTTGGCCCAAGGATCAAAGGCCAGGCATGTTATTTTATACTTCACTGTGTTTTATGGGTACTGCTACAAGCTATAGGCACAGGAAAAGCTGTGCCTTGTGCCCGAGAGATGGATGGCAGGTTAAATCTCCTGTCCCTTGAAAGGGGGAAGGCATACTTAGATACTCCTAGCATATGGGTCACAATAACCTAGTCTAGCAGACTGTCCTAGCTGCATCCTGAGAGTTCAGGGTTAAATAAGTTTGCATGGAGCAGGACACATGAGTGCATAAAAGTATTATATGTCTGCAAACTGGGTACTACACTTGGTCCTATGGCTAAGATAATCTAAGGATGGATAACACAACAAAGATTGCCAATGGGAAAAGCAGCACCAAGCAATGTCCTGAAGCATCATGAGGAAATATCACAGCTAGAGACCTTATCCCCCCACAAACTTTCATCATCCCTTACATATTCATACTTATTTCTATAAATGTCTCCCTTGGAAAAATAATCTTTTGCCTCTGAATTGTCTGCGAAGCCATCAGAATGCAGCAAAACTGGCTCCATAGTCAGTCATAAGAGAGTGAGGAATGCTTTTCAAGATTTCTAAACAGGAACAAATTATTTCCAGGAGACATTTGTTACAACCCAGCAAATAGTCCACAGCTGGCACACTGGATACTGAGCTGATCACAAGGAAGGCATCAGTTTGGGGTCTCACTTGGGATATCTTTAGGACAGATCATGTGTCTGCCTAGGTAAGCTCAGTAATGAGACAACAACCCATCTGGGGCACACCTAGAAATGGTCTTAGAGGAAGATTTGTCCACAATATCATCACTTTCTCTGTTCAAATAAGGAAAAAAATCAACACAAAGGCAAATCTGATCCTTGTGTAGGATGGACAGAAAAACGGTCTTTGGTCTGCACAGATTCAGGGCAGCAGCCCATCTCCTGTGGTGTGATCTCCCTGTGTTCCACAGTGCCTTTGTGTTCCTACAGCATATATGTGGATACCCAGAGAAGGTAGGATTCAGACTAGCAAGCATTTACACAGCCTCTGAATGCCCCCGTGACATCCAATAATTCAGAGCACAGGCACTCCCAAGTTGTTTTTTTTTGTTTGTTTTTTGTTTGTTTGTTTGTTTGTTTTTGTTTTTTAATTTTTGGTAACCAAAAGACTTTTTGTCTCTAAATTTGCCTTTTTAAACCCTTTCAATCTTTTAGCACCCAAAGCATCTTTTGGCGGGGGACTCCTCAGTTTCACTCCTTTGATTTGTCTGAGGAACTGAGGCTGGTGCCCAAATGGTAACAGGTCTTCAAATGAGAAAAGTCCCATTTCTGCCCTTGCTGCAAACTGTGCAGAGGTTGAGATTCAAATCTCTCACTAGGTGCTCTGGCCACCAGACTTGGCTTCCCCATGCCAGAGTTCTTAAATTTGCTTTTGAGATTCTAGGAACCAAATTACTTCACAAGAGAACAGAAAGTGGAAAAGTCATTATATTTTGCATGTACTCCCTGTGGGCATGTGCACAGGATTTGTGATAGCTTTTACCTTTGCACTTCTGGGCCCCAAGGCTAGAATTTTAGGGATTGTGCTTCATATTTACATATCCTACAGCCAACCAGGAAGGACGATGTGTAGAGAAGGGGTGGAAAGCAGTTTTCAAATGTTTGTTCATCAATTTATTTCTGTACAGAAGGAGGAGAGCAGATCTTCGATAAAGCTGTTGTGCAGCTCAGAGTGTATGGAAGTGCACGCTGAGCACACTGGCTGAGAATTGGCCCTAGAAGCTCTAAGTATTGTTATGTGGTTTCTTCCCTTTCCAGGCATCTTTGTTTCCCAGATTTCTGGCCAGGAACAGAACCTGGAGTGCCCAAGTGCTGCGGTGAAGCAGGCTGTCATGACATTTCCAACCCAACCAGTAGTGCAGGAAATCTCCCAAGAAAGATTGTTTTTATAGGCTCCCAGAAGGCTTGCATATGTCAGATATGCTTATCCAGACCAAACCCAGCCTTCCTGAAATTCATTCCTCACTAACATTAATGCTTTTTTCCATGTCAGTTTGAGTGGTGTGAGATTTTTGGCAGTCAGGGAGTAGTAAAGATTTGTTTACAGCTGTTTTGGAATGGATGCTGGTTTGTTTATTGTAATTCATGCCAAATAAATATTTCATAACAAGTGATATATTCCAAAGCATTCTTTTTTTTTTTTTCCCTGTGATTTTAATTTACTGTAGGGCTTTCATCTCAGCGATTTGTGTTGCTTAGCAGTGGCCAGCCACATACAGCAAACGGAGGCAAAAAAAGAGAAAACATTTCATAATCCCCTTCTTCAGAATTTCAGATCTCAGACTGATACACTGCACGTTCAAAAACAAGAGAGGAATATTAAACTGTCATATTTCTTCACTTTATTCAAGTATAAATTTTTATAGTGGTGAATCAATCACCAATATACAGTGAATCAATCTGAAGTTTTTGATTGATTCTATCACATATCCTTGTTCCTTTGTCCAGCTACCTTAAATGAACATTTTTAATGATGCTTCCAGTGAAAATACACACTGCAAGGAAACTGAAGTGAGTTCTATGGTTATTTATGTACAGTCATGCTCAAATATTTTCCTGTTTAAATTTGAGGAAGCAAACTTTGATTATCTAAATGTGCAAAAAAAAGTAAAGATGGTTAAGAAAAAAAAATTAAAAGGATTTCAATGTCTGATATTAATTTTCTTAAATATATAAATATTAAGCAAATAGTTTTTGTAGGACTGAGTGGTGGTAAGAGGTTGCATAAGTATTTAGCCCCCAGGTAAGATTCCTTGTGTAATGAAAAATAAAGCCACATGGTGCCCACTGCTAGAAAAAAAAAAAGATACAGTTTTCTCCCAAAATAAGTGTATTATGCATTCCTTTCTATGTGAGGATTTCTAACATCAGCAAAGTTTGCATCCTCAGTAAATATGAATAATTGGATGCTCTGATGAGAGCATCAGAACTCATCTCAGAAATGCAGCTTTCTAGGCCACAATATCATTATCTGATCTAGAATGCAAGATATATCCAGCACTGGAAGATACAATCTACATTTCCCAGTGTGTTAATAACTTGACCCCCTCCAAAGGTCCTGCTGTGTGTATTGAAGCTGTCTATTAATTCCCTTGTGGACTGCTGCTTTTGGCATTTAATCTCCAGAAGGAATTTAAGAAGGTCAAAGTCCCCTTCTCTGAGGAATGCCACACAACTAATAAAACAAAGTACGTTTGCCCCCTCAAAGAGCTAGAAGTCTGGGAGCTGTGTTGACAAGAGACCTTTGGACTATTTCTACCACCATTCGGAAGAGGGGGAAGGGCAGAGAGATAGTTGCTGTATTTTAATAACTATGGGAAGATGGTTAATACTCACGGAATTTCAACCTCTGTAACATTTGATTTATTTTAAATATGATGAAGGGTTCAAAGTCTCTTTTCACACCACTGTAATCCGATTGACTCCCTTGGTCTCTGCATGGTGGCAAGAATTATGACTATGGTTGTTTTCTTGGAGCAAACAAGTTTAGGCTGTTATAAAAGCTCTTCAAAGTTCTCACTAAGGTATCTGCTCATGGTGGGTGGTAGAACACCTGCATGAAATGTCATGGAGCCCAAAAACCAAATAGAAAACTCAGTAAAAGGAGTAATTGGCAATACTGGCTCAGTCTAAAATCTCTAATACAGAGGCTCCTTGTTCTGAGTCCCAATGGGCATTTTATACTGTTATCTCACAACAGTCATGGATTTACAACCAAAGCTTCCAACTGTCACCTGTTACAGTGACTGAGGGCACAGCTGAGGCTACTGAAAGTGTGGATGGGTTCTTGTTGCTAGGGGAGCATCCCCTCAGGAATTCAATCTTCACAGAGTAGAGTCTACAATGGGTTACCCGTGTCACATGATATCATCTCAGGTCTCTCGTTATGTTACTGGACTTCCTATTTCAGCTTTCCAAGGAAAATTGAATAAATACAACAGTGCCATTTGTTTATATGTTTGTATATCCATCTGTCCCTTCAAACCTGCTGGTCAATTTAAATCAATTTTTGGCAGCAGCAGAAGCTTCAGGAGATCACATTCTTGCAAGATGATTTAAAATGTATAACATATAGAGAGCCTCAAAGTAAAATCTGCTATGTAACCTCAACTATACATACTAAATAACCTCAAATGTACAAGGAAAACTGACACTTCATTTGGTTTTGCAGCTTGTGAAGCTACTTCTGTAAACAATGGAGGCCAGGCAGAGGTATAATGAGCCGCCTTGTGAAAGTCTGCAAATACTTCTCAAAAAGCTTAATGGCCTTTCCCCATTATCCTGAAAGGAAAACATATTTTTAGCCCAGCATTCACTGGAAACTGATTGTCAGGGCTGTGAATACCTCACATACAAATTATCTGCCATAAGAAGAAAACCCCAAGCATGGATGCTGGAGTCTATGATGGACTGTGCTCCCAAAGGCCATGGGGCAATGTTCTCCCAAACTTTGTAGGATGCAGCCTCTTTACCTTGAAATCTCCAAGCGGTAAAAGTCACACCTGGTCTCAGTCTCTGTTCAGCATCCTTCACAGTCCAGGTGTGGGCAGATAATGTCTTGGGACTTCCCTTTTACTGCTGCTTGTATTTTATCTGCGCTGAGATACCATCAGCGACAAGGCAAGTGTTAGGAGATTTCTTTGACAATCCTCTCAGACATCTGATTATGAAAGGCCCTAGCTTATCCAATGCTTCACTTAGCTGATTACTTCAAAGGGACTGGCTCTCCTCTTTCTTGCTTCTGCTGCCCGAACAGCTCCTTTTCCAGGGCTCTGTTTGTGAACAGTTTTTTTTACAAAGTGCATCAGTGTCACTGCCCGCCCAGGGCTGGATCTGAGGAGGAATCTGGGCTTCTGGCCTGATAACCCCTAACTTTTGGGCTGGCAAACCTGCTGGAATTTGATGTTTTATGAACCCTTTGAATGATTTTTGTGTGTTGACAGGGTTCAAAAATTAGCTTGAGTTCATGAACCTTTCCCCTCCTCCTCCTCTTGTCATTTGAAACTAGGTTTTTTTTCCAACAGCGATTCGTTCCATTAAAAGAGTATTTTCCTCACTAATAAGGGAGCTCTATGCTACTGCATGTCCAGACAGGAGATGTTATGAATCATGAGATGGAAGAAAAACTTTGGAAGGAAGAGCCTATCACTTTGATTAGAAATGATGGATAAAATTCTGGCCCAATGAAGAAGCTAGCAGAAAAATACAGTTGACCTCTGTGAGACCAAGTTTTCACTTTTTTTTTCCATCGGAGTTTTTCTTCTCTCCTCCTCATCATGGGGTCTGTGTTTGTTTTCCTTCAGCCCACTAAAGGGCTTTTCTTTTTTTTTCCCCCTTTTTTTGAACAGACTTCAGACTTATTTTATCCACAACTGTTTCTTAGACTGATTCCCTTCAGTACAAAATGTCTCCTGAAACATCTGAGTTGAACTTTCAGCCGGCTGAGAATGAGACAAAATAAATTTGCCCTTGGAAACTTCATTCTTTCCAGTTTTCTGTGGCTTTCACCAGCATGCCAGCAGAAAAATAGATGCCTCACATATATTTTTAAAGAAACTCAATTTGCAGGGTTCTCACAACCAGAACAAGTCGGCATGTCTACAAAGTGCAGTGCATAGGGATGGCAGCAGGGCAGTATTAAGGATGTGGGTTTTGTTGTTCTTCGTATGTGGGGCTGGCTTTGCCTGGCAGTGAGAAACAGATCAGCATTGACGATTGGAGAATTTGCCCAGGGTCCACAGTGATGGCAAGGTGTGCAGTGTTCACAATGTCCAAACCTCTGTTAATGTCAGAGTTGTCACATGGATCTAACCAAGTGCAGGATTTCTCTCTCCTCCCCGCGTGTCAGCAGCTGAGCACTGCCAAAGCACACAAAGGCACAGTTCATGCCCTTGAGAGTTTAACAGTTTAGGGGCTAACAGCTTAATTTAACAGCTTGTAATTAACTTTTCCAGATTACTAGTAAGCACTGCCCAAATAGTGCATTTTGTGCTTGTATCTCAGTGATACATCCTGTGCTGGAGGTCAGCCCCTGTGGGAGCTTACCGATGTTTCAGAAAAGACTGATTTTGCGCACCAGTACTTTGCTTCCCAAAAGTGAGTTAGTGTGAATGGCCACTGTCATTCCTTGTGTGTATTAAACTCCAGCTGATAGCCTGGAAAGCTGCTGGGCTGACAGTCAGAAAGCCTAACACCCTCTGTGCATCACGCACTGCAAAAGCAATCTCAGCTCTTTCCCAATGCACAGAACTCCTCCAGGGCTCTCCAGATCCCTGCAGAGGTGCACAGCAGAGCACCCAGGTCCCACACACCAGCTGCTACCATACAGCATGATGCTCTGAGTTGAGTGGCCCTGCCAGAGGGGCTCCGCAGTGATGGATGTGCTGTGCTCCCAGTGCCTTTCTGCTTGGGCTTGTTTCAAGACCCCAGGTTATCAGAGCACTGCCATTATAAATGTAAACTGCAAATGGAACATCAAACAACAGCCCTGTCCTGCACAGCGTCACTGCCACGACTCGGCCGGGAGGAGCTGTCTGATCATTCCCAGTTCTCAAACTGCCAGGGAATGGCTGGGGAGTGACCAGGATAAAGAGCAGCATTGAGAGCAGCCTTAAACCCCTTCTTCTGGAGGGCTAAGGTCACATTTTCCTCCTACGCTCAGCTTTGTTGTATTAAGCATAATTCTCTTTACTTTTATGAAAACAGGTTAAGAAGAACTGGAGATATTTGGATTAATGTACAAGAACAGGCGGATTAAGAGGCCCTGTGAATTAAGGTGATCCCTTTAAGGCTCTGCCCTTTCACCCCTGGAGCTTGGCTTTCATTCCTGCTCAGACTGATGTGACTAAACTCTTCCTAATCTGACAGCTGATACGGGTCAAAAGTTAAATGTGCCAAGGCAGGAGAAGACAGCCTTCTCATGGTCCCTGTCGCCATTGCCATGGCAGGGAGTCACCCACACTGCTGAGCTGACCCTGCAGCCCCAGACACCCACACTGCTGTGCCAAGCAACTGAAATACAGCAACAAGGCTTTTTTTGCACCTCCTGGTGCTGGGACTGCTTCCGTCCCCTTAACTAACTGTTGGGCACACCAAGGCCTATGAGATGGCTCTGCTTCTCACTGCAGAGGCTTGCAAAGCTTTCCACACTAGAGCAGAGCAGGTTATTATCTAAAAGAGAAAGTCATGTCCAAAGGAGGGTGCTGAAGATGGTTTATGAGCTGTGATTTCTTCCAGCTTCCACAGCAAACCTCCATCCAAATCCATATCTCAGAATGCTGAGATTAGTACTGGCTGGCCTGGGCTGAGTGTACTACCTAAAATGAATAAATACCTGATTTCTCAACAGTGTAACAAAGAAAACCTTGCTTTCTAAAATAGTGTTTCTCCCTGCAGACAATCCTTCCTGGCTGGGCTTGTGTCCTTTCTGGTTTCACTTTTTTTTTTTGCATCATCTCACACCTACTCTGGTTCAGAAGACTTTGAATCGCAGGGAGACTGAGCAAGCAGCTCTCTCAGACCAGACATGATAGACACAGTTCAGAGTATGCTGAGAAAATAGAAGAACCTAGTCCCATTTCAGATTGCTAACAGGTATTTCTGGATCAAAGCTGAAAGTTTTATTTCCATTTTGTCCATCTGGACACAGCAGCAATGAAGTCAGGGAGAACAAGGAGCTGTTAGGACACAGGTAAGGAAGGATGGAGCTCAGCACCATTGGTCCCAAATCCCTCCTCCCAGCTTACATCCCCATGAAGTCCTCTTCCATTGATCTGCTCCCTACTTTTCTGCCTGTGACTGCTTTTTCTTTTCCTATTTTTGGTGAGGCACCCAAGTTGTTCTGTCACCAATGGGACTGATTTCCGGGCACATGGAAGAACCCAAGCAACCATCATTTGTGACACCATTGCTTCACCAAGCTTCAGTCTCAGAAACTGTTCTTCGTTTTCAGTGCTTGACTGAAGTTGATGTTTTCTATGAAATCACTTTCTTGAGTCATTTCAATCAGTGTACACTCACTTCCATATACACAAACGCTCTTCTGAGCTCTTACTGCTGTTTTTGAGGTGCCACTGATCATTTACTTCTAATTACAGCTTGAAAGAGGGAGGTTTGGGAACTCCTGTTTCCGAAGGCCTGAGAGCTTTTACAGACAGTAGAGATGTTTTCCCTCATCTTCAGTGCCCCAGCACTGATCATGCCTTAAACAAGCTGATTGCAGGGGCTCCTCCTGCTGCAGCTGCAGCTGCAGGTCCTGAAGCTTCTCTTGCAGCCTAGCAATGCCTCAAGATGCATTTTCTGAGCATCCTCTTCAAGAGCTGAGGGACCCCGTATGCCTGGCCTGGCTTGCAGGCAGAATCTGCCTTCCCCACCCTCTCCCAAAACACTGCAGCCATAGAGAGCTCTCCAAAGACGGCCTGAGGCACTTCCAGAGTGCAGAGCCGGTCACACGTAGGAGGGCCGAACCACAAAAAGGAAACTCGGCTCCTTTTGTTTTAAGGACCAGGAAAGGAAGAAGACAGACGCCATTTGCAAGCAATCCAGATGTGGAGAGGGCAAGCGCTGCAGTCAGGGTGGGTTTGCCATCCTCTACCTCCATGCTCAGCAGATTATCTCTCAGCACATGGTCTAGATTAAGCCCCATTCTCTTTTTTTAAACCATTAAACCACGATGAGCTCTCCAGTCCCCCGGTGGGCTCATCTTGGAAAATCTTGCAACAACTCCAATTTCTGCCAAATCATTCTGATCTTTGCTTTCAACTTCTCTTTCACCCTGGGGGCTTGGCTTTCCCGTTGGTAGCAGGATAAAGGCTTGTACAAAGGCCTCAGGAGAGGTGTGCGTGGGCTCACTGAGGCTTATTGGAAGCAAAGGCAGAGCCTGCCTGTGGGGGTGTGTGCATGTAGAACTCAGCACACCAGTTCAGCTCGGGGGCCACCCACAGCCTCCAAAATGAATTATTTGCTCATATATTTTCCTGACAGTAAGAAGCCTTCCTCATGCAAGACAACAGAGGAAAAGAAGAAAATGTCAAGGGTGATAATGGGTAGAAAACCCCCCAAAAGTGTATTTTCTTAAAGTATGATGGATTTAATTTGTGGGGAGGCAGGGTGATTAAGAGATCTGGTGGCTTGAGAGATTTGCTGTGTCTGACAGATGCTCACTTTGTACTAGATCTGGTCCAAACCCACATTTGAATGCTTTTGCAGAGCTGATCTGATGCTCTGGGAATGACCTGATCTCTTAGCTCATCTGTGCCATATGGAGAAACCAGCATTCTTGGGCATGTGATACCATTCTTACTCTGTCATTGATTCCATTTTTAAGATCAAGACAGCCCTTGTCCCTCTGCAGCTGTGCAGGTACCTTCCCACCAGGAATGCCCAGTGGGGCTGTGTCCATCTCACCGAGGCACCAGAAGAGTTTGGGGAGCTAAGACATGCAAAAGCTTTAACAGCACATGTGCAGCCATCCCTGCCTTGACCAGACACAGTGCTGTGATGGGAGCTCTGTGCAAGGGATACCTCCTTGTGCCTTTTCTCACGATATCCATCATTCCTGCATTCTCACTACATGGTTTATTTTGGTGCCACAAAAATATCCCAAAATTCATTAGCAGATGTGCCATATTCTACAAACGGATTATTTAAGAGCGCCTTTATTTTCTATCAGTCTGCGGGTACAGCTTTTTGAGTCCATGTTAAACAAACAGCTGCTGAGTGAGAC